TGGCAAGGCTTTCGTTCAGATCTGATGGAGAGATCAAAAAATTTACAGACAAGCAAAACCTAGTAGAGTTCAGCACCATCAAACCAGCTTTACAAGAATTATTTGAGGGACTTCTCTAAACAAAAAAGGAAAGGCCACAACTAGAAATATGAAAATTACTGGGATAAATCTCATTGGCAAAGGCAAATAGACACTTAAGGTAAGAGATCAACTACTTATAAAGATAGTAATAGTTTAAAAGACAAAAGTAGTAAAATCATCAAAGTCCACAATTAAAGGATACACAAAGCTAAAGGATATAAAATATGATATCAAAATGTAAAAGATGAAGGGGGAATAAAAATGCAGAGTTGTTAAAAACATTCAAGCTTGAGAGATTGATAACTTAAAGTAACCATGTATATATAGATAGATTGCTCCATATAAAACTCAAGGTAACAAAAATCTACAATAGATACACAAAAAAAGAGAAAAAACATAAACACCAGAGATAGTCATCAGATCAAAAGTAAAGAAAGTTTAAAAAAAGAACAAAAAGAACCACAAAAATGACCCCAAAACAATTAATACCATAAAAGTGTAATAAGTACATACCTATCAATAACCACTTAAAAGATAAATGGATTAAATGTTCCAATCTAAGAATGTAAAGAGCCTGAATGTATAATAAAACAAGACCCATATATATTCTGCCTACCAGAGACTCATTTCTAAAGACACACACAGACTGAAAGTGAGGGAATGGGGAAAAAGTATCTTATGCAAATAGAAACAAAAAGAAAACCAAGGTAGGATTAAACAAAATAGACTATAAAACAAAGCGCTGTCATAAAAGACAAAGAATGACATTACATAATTATCATAAGGAATTATATTACATAAGGAATTAACCCAAGAAGAAAATGTAGCAATTATAAATACATATGCATTCAACATAGGGTTGCCTAAATACAGACATCAAATATTAATAGATATAAAGGGATATACTGACAGTAACACAATAATACTAGAAACCCACTTAGGATCTGTCCCACTTAGGTCAATGGACAGACCATCCAGACAAATCATCAATAAGGAAATGCTGCCTTAAACAACACATTAAACCAAGTGGACTTAATAGATATCCATAGGACATTCCATCCCAAAGCACCAGAATATACATTCTTTTCAAGTGCACATGGTACTTTCTCCAGGTTAGCTCACATTCTAGGTCACAAAACAATTTCAATAAACATAAGAAGACTGAAATCATCTTTGCCAACACAACACTATGAGACTAGAAATCAACTACAAGGAGCAAAAGAACAAAAAACCTGCAAGAAATACAAACACATAGAAGCTAACCAATATGTTATTAAATAACCAATGGATCACTGAAGAAATCAAAGAGGAAATAAAAAAAATTCCTGGAGACAAATGAAAACAGAAACACATTGACCCAATATCCACGAGATGCAGCAAAAGCCATTCTAAGTGGGAAGTTTATAAAGACAGATGCCTACACTTCAGTATAGCAGAAAAGTCTCAAATAAACAATATAAGTTTATGCTTAATAGAAGCAGAAAAATATGTTCTAGATAGATGCAAAATCCTCAAAAAAATATTAACAAGCCAAATTCAAAAATTCATTAACAAGATCATGCATGATAATCAAGTGAGTATCCCAGGAATGCAAGGATGGAAAAATCAATCAAGATTATACATCACATTAACAAATTGAAGAATAAAAATTATCTGACCACATCAACAGATGCAAGAAAAAACTTTTGACAAAATTCATCATCTATTCATGATAAAAACTCTGAATAATGTGAGTATGGAGGAAACATACATCAACATAGAAAAGGCCATATATGAAAAGCCCACAGCTAACATCTTACTCAATGGTAAAAAGCTGAGAGCATTACTTCTAACTTCAGGAATAAGACAAGGATGCCCTCTTGAACCTCTTTTATTCAACACAATGTTGAAATTCATAGCTACAGCAACCAGACAAGAAAAAAAATTTTAATCCAAATGGAAAATGTAGAAGGAAAACTGTCACTGCAGAAGACATGATACTGTAAATAGAAAATCCTAAATATGCCATCCAAAAACTACTGGAATTCATCAATGAATTTGATAAAGTGGCAAGATATAAAATTAATACCTAGGAATCTGTTCAATGCTATATATTAACAACAAACTATAAAGAAGGCAGAGTGCTGGAGAATTGATGCTTCTGAACTTGGTTCTGGAGAAACTCTTGAGAGTTCCTTGGACAGCAAGGAGATCAAACTAGTCAATCCTAAAGGAAATCAACCCTGAATATTCATTGGGAGGACTGATGCTGAAGCTGAAGCTCCAATACTTTGGCTACCTAATGTGAAGAACCTACTCATTGGAAAAGATCCTTATGCTTGGAAAGACTGAACACAAAAGGAGAAGAAGGTGGAATAGGATGAGATTGTTGGCTGGCCATTGATCATCAATTCAATGAATAAGAGTTTGAGCAAACTCAGGGAAATAGTGAAGGACAGGGAAGCCTGGTGTGCCGTAGTCCATGGGGCCACAAAGAGTCAGACACGACTTAGCAACTGAACCATGACCAACAGCAAACTATCAGAATGAGAAAACAAGGAAACAATCCCATTTACAATTGCATCAAAAAGAATAAAACATCTGGGAGTGACCATAGCTAAGAAGGTAAAAGACCCACACTTATTAATGACAGATATTCAAGATGACACAAACAAATGGAAAGATACATTGTGCTCATGAATTGGAAGAATTAATATTGCTAAAATGACCCAAGTATTAATGTTAATATTACCCAAGGCAATCTACAGATTCAGTGTAAGACCTATCAAAATACCAATAGTATTTTCCATAGAATTTGAACAAATAATTCTAAAATTTGGATGGAAACATAAAAACCCCTAGATAGCCAAAACAAACTTTAAAAAGAACAAAACTGGTAGTATCACACTTCTTGGTTTCAAACTATACTAAAAACCTACAAAAATCAAAACAGCATGGTACTAGCACATACACACACAAAAGATACATAGCTCAATCAAACAGAAGAGAAAGCTCAGAAATGAACCCACACTCAAGTCAGCAATTAATCTATTATAAAAGAGGCAAGAGTATACAATGGGGAAAAGATAACCTCTTCAATAAATAATAGTGGGAAAACTGGACCTCTACAAGCAAAAAAAAAAAAAAAATCAAACTAGACTACTTGCTCATACCTAGTACCAAAAAAAAAAAAAAACTTAAAATAAATTAAAGACTAAATTCAGGGCCTGAAATCATAAAATTCTAGAAGAAAACATAGGCAGTATGCTCATTGACATCTGTCTTGGCAATATTTGGGGGGATATGTCTTCTCAGACAAGAGAAACAAAATTAAAAATAAATGTACCCATCAAAGCTTTTGCACAGTTCAGGAATCTATCAAAAAAACAAAAAGGCCACCTACTTAATGGGAGAAGATATTTGCAAATGATACATCCAAAAAGGAGTTAATATCCAAAATATAAAAAGAATTCACATAGCTCAACACCAAAAAACCAAACTGATTAAAAAATGTTCAGAGTACCTGAATAGATAAATTTCAGACATACAGATGCCCAACAGACATGTGAAAAGATGCTCAACATCACTAATCATCAGGGAAATGCAAATCAAAACCACAAAATGAGATGTCATCTCAGGCCTGTCAGAAAGGCTATCATCAAAAGTCTACAACTATCAATTGTTGGTAAGGATGTGGAGAAAAGGGAACCCTCATACACTGTTGGTGGGAATATAAAATGATGGAGCCATTATGGAGAAGAGTATGGAATTTCCTTTATCAAACTAAACTAAAAATGTGTGTGTGTGTGCGTGTGTGTGCACGCTCAGTTGTGTCCAACTGTCTGCAGTCCCATGGACTGTAGCCCACCAGGCTCCTCTGTCCATGGAATTTTCCAGAAAAGAGTACTGGAGTGGGTTGCCATTTCTTATCTCAGGGGATCTTCCTGACCCAGGGATCAAACCCATGTCTCTTGTGTCTTCTGTGTTGGCAGGCAGATTCATCCACTTTTGTGACAGGCAGCCTTTGTCTGCCATGCCCTCAACGATCTACTCCAGGCGTTCACGCCCATATGTGATCCCATCCCCTACACTGTGGGCACAACCTAGTGACTCATCCTAACAAACAGAACACAGCAAGAGTGATGGGGAGTTACTTCTATGATTAGGTTACAAAGGACTGTCTCCATGCTTGCCTTGATGAAGCAGGCCACATGGCAAGGAACTGAGGACCTTAGACCATCTGCCCAGGAAGAACTAAGTCCAGCCAACAGTGATGAGTTTGGAAGCAGACCCTACCCACTTGAACAATGGTCAGCCTCTGCTGACAACTTGTTCTCAGCCTGTGAAAGACCCTTAGGCGGAGGATCCAGTTAAGCAATGCTCAGATTTCTGACTCACAAAACTGTGATGAAGTAAACACGTGTTGTTTTAACATGCTGAATTTTGGAATACGTAGACCCGGGTTTGATCCCTGGGTCAGGGACATCCCCAGGAGAAGGGAATGGCAGCCCACTCCAGTCTTCTTGCCTGGAGGGTCCCATGGACAGAGGAGCCTGGCGGGCTACAGTCCATGGGGTTGCAAAGAGTCAGACACAACTGAGTGACTAACACGCTATCTTACACTAGATAACTAACACACTCTTCTTTCCTGTGTATCTATATCCTAACTTTAATAGCGCTAAGAAAATACCTACTAATCAGTTTGTACACAGTTGATGTAGCCGATCTGATTTCTATCTTTATTGCCTTTTGGATTTATATTAGCCACATTTTAGAAACAGCATTCATTCAAAACAGGCCAGGAAAGTGACCTAGTGCTGGAAAGAGTCTTGCAGAATATCTGGAAATTTTCCCCACAAAAAAATGTAAGGGAACTATGCTCATAGAAATCCAATATTTGTGAATTCCACATTAATAAGATAAAACTGTTTGAAACTCACCTCCGCTCCTTGAGGAATGAGCCAAAATCCTGGTCCACAGGAGCCCAGCAGCTCTGCCCAACAGCCCCACTGTGGTAGGGGCTCAGGGAATCTGCCTTGCCAGCTCCTTGCTGTGGCCGGCGGTTGCTGGTGTTGAGTTCCACCAGCCCTGACCCTCCCAGGCCAGCGCTCGTGGGAGCAGATGTCTGATGCAGCTCCATCTCCAGCATGCCAGAGGTCAGCCTGCCGTCTTTGTTCTCTAGGTGTATGTTTCTGCTGCCGCTCTTCTCACTGGGGTCAAACAGAAAGAAACTGCTGTTGATAAAAAGCAAACTGGGAGTATCATTTGCACCTTGAGGAATTTATACTACTGAATGGTATAATAGAAAGACCTCTTATAACAAGGACTTTATCATGTTTCAGCATTCTAATATCTAATATTATATTCCAAAGTATGCTCATCTCCAAGGATGAATATTTTAGCATATTTCAAACTAGCAGTGACCTAACTATTCAACAACAGAGTATTAATTAGGGTAAATTGTGATGCTTTCACAGTATAAAACACTATTCAAACATAAACATCCTCTAAAGATATTAATAATGGCAAATGTTTAAAATATGGTAAACACCACTGGTACAATGGGATATATCTCTTGCAATATATATGTTGCAGAGAGGAAACCAATTCTGACTCCATGTTGGAAATTTTCTTTGACTTGCTTTCATTGCTTTTGCTATTATAATCATACATAATGGCTTGCCTCAAAGAACTCTGCCTGACTGTAAACTAAAGTGCCTTTGTTCAGCTCATGAGAGACAATCTGTCCCTGCCCACCTGTGAATAGGAGATTAATACACCCCTTCCTCTCCCCTGGAGATGTTTTGTAAGATTGAATACCCTTTCACTTTACTTTCCCACTGCCTTTCCTTCTTTATTCTGCCTTTCAACTTTATTTCCTCATTGCTTCTTTCTCTCTGACTTTACAAAAGCACCTGGCACCCAGACCCCAACAAGTTGGCTATTTTGAGGCATGAGCCTGCCTTCTTGCCAGTCAGCTGGCTCCCTGAGTAAAGTGTCTTCCTTGTTTCAACATCTTGCTCGTATTTATTGGCCCATCATGTGGCAAACAGAGGGAGCTTGGACTTGGTAACACCTAGGATATACATAGAACAGAAGACCAGAAGGTCATAGCCCCCAAAGTTTGGCTATTTCTGTGTGGTAGAGATACAGATGATTATGGCTTTCTACTTTGTCTTTATCTAGAAAGGGACTTTAACAATTTTTGCATCTAGCAAATTAATACTCTTGCAATAAGAAAACACCCTTCCGCTTGCATTCTTGAGATAAGAGATAGGTGGGCTTCAGTTGAGGAATTTACAATCAGCCAGCCTCCTCTGCATTTCTTGAGATAAGAGATAGATGGTCCAGAAGTTACAGCCAGCAGAAGAAACAGGGTAAATAGCCAGTCTTTTTCTCCTACCTCAAGGGAATAATCATGGCAAGGACAAAGAAAAGAAACAACCCTGTCTAATGGAGACACTACACATGTAAATGGCTCCTTGTAGTCAAAAGTCAGAGGATTAATTCCAGGCCATCATGAGTCTTGCTCCTCCCAGGAGCCTTCACTTCGACCCACCTTGGCTAGGGTGTGCATGCGCACCCCAGGGGGGAGTCCTTAGACAAATCAACCAGGGGGAACAAAGCAAGGTGATTGGCCTGAGCGAAGACAAAGACCCAGAGAACTGCCTGTTTATAAAGGATTCTAATTTCCCAAAGGCGTGACTCTCTCTCTTGAGTTTGCCCATGCCCATTTATTCATGTACTTTTCTTTTCAATAAACTTTTTACTTACTCTTTATCCTCTGCCTCCTCACCTGAATTAGTTCTTGACTGGGCAGGCGAGACTAGGCACCTTAGCCCTAACTGCTGGCTCCTGTGATCCAGTGGTAAGGACTCCCAGTCTGGGAAACTAAGACCCTGCTTCCAGCTATTGCTTGCTGCTACTTGCTGCACACTGCTGCTTACTGCTGCACACATCTGGAATTAATAATACCTCCTACAAAAATGAGAAAAATCACTATACTTGCAAGGTTATGGTGTCTTACTTTGGGGATTGTGTTTTAACCTTTTATCATTTTACTTGTTTATATAATAGTGGGCAGCATCCCACAACCCCACAATTACCTGTGGTTGGCAGCAGAATGGTTTGCTATCAAAGCTTGCTCTTGTCAACTACAAACTGGGACTTGCCGAGAACATTTGCCAGCAACTGAACAACAAGGCATTTGTCACCTGCCTCTGCAGAGATTGAACCCTGTGCTGCTGTAGCTGTTGACCTTCAACACCCCCTGAGAGAGTTCAGGGTGGAGTGAGGCACGCTGTGTTCCAGAGGATCCGGTAGAACAGGTATTTAGATAATTAGATATTTTAAGGAACTGATTTCATGATCCCAATCCTTGTGTCTCTTCATATCTAGAAAATCACTAAATCCCTTCACAGGGAACATCAGCTCCTTGATGGTAGGGCCCACATGGGATCTCATTGATAAGATGGCTCTTTATGTTGACCTCCCTAACAAAGAATAAATCACAGTAATCTGTGAGACCGACCAAATTGCCCAAATGGCATGCTGTTATCTCACTGGCTCCTATCTTCTCAAAGCTTCAAGACCACCAGATTCCAGACCTCCGGCTATGTGACCATCCCTTCAGAGAATTTTTCGTTGGTGGGGTATAAGAAGGCCTCCGTCAAAAGGGAGAACGCTGGTTCTCCTTAAGGGCCAGTCACCCGCTCTTCTCCCTCTAATAAACTTTCGTTTTCTTGCCTGACTGCCTGGCCCACTTGCTCTCTTTTCTCCGCACTCACCTTACACTCAGGACTAGCAGAAACCTTTGGTAAAGTAAGCAGTTGGAGGTGGGGCTGGTTTAGTCACTAAGTCGTGTCCGACTCTTGCGACCCCACGAGTAGCCCGCCAGGCTCTTCTGTCCATGGGATTCTCCAGGCAAGAATACTGGAGTGGGTCGCCATTTCCTTCTCTACTAAATGGAGCTTAATGGCATCAACCTCAGTAGGCCATAAAGGGGCTCAAGAGAGACAAAGACTCCTAAAGTTCTCAACTCAAGGCTTGGTACCCAGGAAGTTTTCCACACAGAGTAAGCTCACTGTGAGCAATGATCAGGGACACTCCTGGGGGCCTGCAGGTCTTCCTGAGGGAAAAGAGCAGAGTGCCCACCTCCCTAGTCTGACAGAGGGCCAGAAAACACTGGTGCACACACTCCCCTTGAGGAAGTGAACTCTCCCTTCACCAAAATCTTACATATTGACCTTCCCTGACTGCCTCTCAAAGCTCTCTGAGTTGCTGTCTCCTGGGCTATAGTTCTCCTTCTGCTCCCAATAAAACTTAACTTGCAGCTCTCAAATTATGCATATTTTTAATCGACACTCTGAAGCCAAAATCACTGTGAGCTATTGTTGAGTAGGATTTGCAGCACTGGAAAGCAATGTACTCACCTGTAGGTGGAATGAGAGCAATTCATGGGTCCACCACTCCTTGTCACTCAGTTCACAGAGGCTTGCAATGCCCTGTGATCACAAATTCTGGAGCACCCAGGATGTGTGGGAGTTCCAAGCAAGTATAAAGTAAGTGTATTTTGTCTGCAACTGAATAAGTGGAGTGCTGACAGCCCAAGAGTCCATACATTCTGGTGGGACAAAAATTTGCAAGTACAGAAAGGCAACAGCTTTTGAAGAAACCCAGATGACCATGGAAGTTTTAATATTTTCTTATTGCTATGATTTCCCTGCTTTCACCCACCACTTACATTGAAAAGATGGCTTACTCATCAGTAAGCAGAAGGCAGAGAGTGTTGATAGAATGTACTTGTATCAAAAGGCAAAATTAAAATATTATAGTTTGATACAATGTTTCCTTGTCTGGTAAAAACAAACTCCATAGGCACATTTAAGTCAGGGAACACAAATTATGCAACTTCTGTGATTCCCTCTACAAGTTAAATACTCTCACATTTGTGTTTTAAACTGATGCTGCACAATATAAAGATGAACAATACAATTTATGCTAATAATTTACATTTTTAATTTTTCTTTACTTAGAATCATAATACCAAATAGCAATTTAAAACACCATGACAAGTTGACAGACTGTGGAAGAAAAGAAAATCTTTATATTTTAATACTGTTAATGGCATTTTTTCCCATTTTTTGAACAAGGGGGCCCGCATTTCATCATGCACTGGGTCTCACTCTCTCCCCTTCAGAGAATTACCCTCTTAGCTCTCCACTGCCTTCGTTCCTCCCTAACGCACTCCAGGTGCCACTGCAACACACCCTCCACCCTTACCTCACTGGCTACTGTCTTCCTGGCATGTCCCTCCATTTCTTGAAGATCTGAGACCTAGCTTGTCATCACTCTTTTTCTCACTCTCTCTTCCCCCACCCCACCTCCACTACTACACTTGCTGCCATTTTTTGGCTTAAGCATCCACTTCCTGGACTCTCAGCTACTTGAGTGCCTCACCAGCAGGAGGCTTACCTGCTCCCACATCAGCCAACACCACCATGTTCTCACTCCCCTTTCCCAACTGAGATTTTGTGGTCCAGCAAACACCCTCCTTTTACTTGCTTTCTCTTGTATTCTGTGAAGCTCACCTGTTACATGAGTTTTCTATTACTGCCTAATAAATTACCACAATGATAGTAGCTTAAAGCAATACACATTTATAATCTCAGAGTTTCAGTGAGTCAGGGGCAAGGCTTAGTTCAATCTTCTGTTTTGGAACTCAAGAGTCATTTGGTTGGGGATCAGCTTCCAAGATCACTCCGTGTTGGCAGAATTCACTTCCTGGTAGCTGTAAGACCGAGGACCTAGCTTCTTGCTGGCTGTCGATGGGAGGCCATACTTACTTCCCACAGGCTTCCTACAGCCATGGAGTAACAGCCCATCCATCACCTCTGCCATATTCTATTGTTTGGAATCCAGTTACAGGTCCCACACTCACTCAAGGGCAGGGGGTCATCACACAAGAGTGTGAACACCAGGCAGTGGGGATTGTGGAGGTCATCCCAGAGTCTATCTGCCACCCATGGCAAGACCTCAGACCTGGCTCATCCACCCTGAGCCACCACTTAGGTGGCTGAATGTGGCCACAGAGAACCCTGGGTCCTGCCGTTGGTCTCATCTGACCTCCACATGCAGGATTCTGAATGGGCTCAGCACTGCCCAGCGATCCTAGTGCATCTCCCAAGGCAATTTTCACTCCTGTTCTCCTCCATCTCCCTCCTTAAACCCATATACACCTTCCCATCTTTCTAGTCTCAGCCATTGACTGCCTCATCCTTTCTTCACTGAGGGAGTCAGCCAGGATCCAGTAAGGAAAGCTGTTCTGTGTACATAAGCACAGAAGCTGGTTACATAGGAGGTGGACATGCTGAAAAGCTCACCAGAGGCCAGAGATTAGCACCGCAGGAGACCTCCACCACCATGGCTGAGGGACAGAGGGAGAAGATGAATGCAGAAACCATGGAGGGGAGGCTCCAGACTTTCTGCTGGAGCTGGAGCCCCAGAAGAGATGGCTCCTAAAGCAGGCTGGCACAAAGCGAAGTGCTGGCCTGTCCCTTCCTCCCTTCCCCAATCCCCCAGTAGACTCTCCTATTGGCCAACTCAGCAGAAAGTTGCTGACTGCAGAGCCTGAGCCAGAGCCAGACACTGAGAGTCAGAGAAGAGTACAGCAAGGGCAAGGAATGTCTCTAAGAGAAAAAGTCCCACACTGACAAAATGAAGCAATTAGAATAAAGCACCCAGCCTTCCAAGGACGTGCCTGCCTGCAGCCTTACCAGGTACACAGGAGACCTCCCACTCTCACCTGCTTAGACTGCTTTGTTACAATTCTATTCCTTCTCTCCTGAATCATTCAGGCCAGTGTGAAAACATATTGTCAACACTAAAAAATTACATCTGAGGATTTGTGCTTTCAGGAACACAGAACTATTTTTCCCTCTTCTTCCTATGAAGTACAAATAAAAATCTGACATTTTATATAAAACAATTTGCTAAGAAGTTGTTATTTCAGTAAGAAGACTCTGAAAGGCAGGCAGAAGAAGGCAAACAAGTTAGTTAGGGACCCAAGAAATGACACAGCAGTGAGACTGTGTCCTTGGATTTTTATCATGTCTCATATATCCCAGACAAGGTGCTGAAGAAGTCAGCCACCTAGAAACACCAACAGATGTAGACCAAAAAAGCCCTAAGAAAAGCCTGTCCTCTCTAGCCGAAGAAACATGAATGCAGCAGCCTAGTAGGTTGGAAAGCTTTTAGACAATAACTACTGCAGCCAAACACTGCAAACCCACATTCAATGAGACAGCAAAGGCCAAGTGGTAAACCTAAACTCCCACCCTTACCAGGCTATAATAAGCAGACCAGTCTCCCATCCCCACTGGAATGGCGTCTAAGAAAGCACATAGGGAGATGGCACATTCATCTGTCCTGGGTACTAGAAGTCCCACCTCCTCCATATGCATGCCCCCTCGTGTAGGTGGAGACCAAGAATGGGGAACCTGAACTTCAGTCCCAACTTGCAATAAGGGAAACTCTTTGCCCTTGTTGTTGAGGTGTCAGAGGAGGCCAAGTGGAGAGTCAGAACTTTCACCACTGCAATAATGAGGCCACCTCACAACTGCGTCCCTGGAGGCCACATGCAGAGCAGTAATGAGGTGGCCTAATCTTTCCCAGCTAAGAAGGTATCAGCAAGGGCTCAGTAGGGAGCTCCCACACCACCATCCAGAAATAGCAGGGAATCCTTCCCTACCTTGATATCGACATAGGCTAACATAGGGGAACTTGGATTTCTAATCTTACCTGGCAGGAATGAGGTAGTATCAGCCCTTCTGCTGAAGTGATATCAGAGGAAACCAGCTAAATAGAAGGTTTAAATAGGAATTGGAGCTTCATAATACTCAAATGAGCAAGTTTCTGTCAAAATCACCTGTCACAGTAACAACCAAGAAAATATCAACTTGAAAGAAAATAGATGATAATACTGAGATGATGAACAGGGATGCCCGGTGTGCTGCAGTCCATGGGGTCCTAAAGAGTCAGACATGACTGAGCAATTGAACTGAACTGAACTGAACCAAGATGTTGAAGTTATCTGACAATGATTTTTAAGACAACCAAAATGCAAAATGAAAATATTTCAATAGGCAATAACAGACACAATTGGAACAAATGAAGAAATAGAAAATCTAAACAAAGAAATAGAAAACCTCAACAAAGAAGAGCCAAATGGAACCAAAGCACAATAGCAAAATTTAAAAATTCAGTAGATGGCTCTGATTGTGGACTTGTCAAATTTGCTTATTATTTCTTAGTTTCTTTTTATGCACTTCATGGCTATGTAGTTAAATACAAGTTTATGATCTGTGGGGGGGGGGCGGGAATTCAGTAGATGGGTTCAATAGCAAAGTGGAGGAAACAGAAAAGAACCACTGAACTGGGAGTTAGAACAATAGAAATTATCTAATACAAAACAACAGAGAAAAAATTAACAGACCCTCAGACCTGTGGGTCTATAACAAAAGATATAATCTTCATGTAACCAAAATTCCAGAAGGAAATGAGAAGTACTATGTCGCTGAAAATGTATTTGAAGAAATAAAGGCTGGCAAGGCCTCTTCCAGCCATGTGGGTCCTGTAAAGCCTCCTCTGGCCTCATGGGTCCTGGCAGCCCAAGTGCCACTACAGAAGGGCCTCCTCTAGCCAAGGGTCCAGCTGGGCTGAGGACCATCCCCCTCCAAGGCTCCGTCCACCTGCACCAGCCTCTGTGGGTGTGTTTATGAAGGTTTATGCCCTGCTGGTCTCCATGGACACGTGTGATCTGGACCAGCTCCAGGAACAGACACTGGTGAGAGGAACACACAAGAGGTTGGTCTGAAGCATGGGTCCAGAAACTACCTAGAGGTATTAGAGGGCTCCTGGGAAGGTGTGGGTAGACTGTAGCTCACCACTGGGGCGAGGATACTGACAAGAGGAGGTACCAGGAAATTTTTTCTAATGGCAAGGCTTTGACATTTTATTAAGAAACATCTCTTTATTTTAAATGGTAGTACAAAAGTTGTATATATCATGTAGATTTGTATAGGTATACATACACATAAATGCTCACACACACACACACACACAAACTTGCTCATCAGAATCAAACCCTGTTTTATTAAAATCTTAAATAAAAAAGAGAAGTGTGTTTGTTTTCCTAAAACATACTGCATATAAAGCTGTCAGACAACTTGTAAAGCTGAAACTGCTTTGAGAAGAAGGTAGGCACCCCCACCTACACTTTCTCTGGCCTGACACAGATGGTCTTGGCAGAAGAGCAGCACGCAAGGCAAAGCCAGAGAAGGGAGCTGCCGCCATCACTGCTGACAGCGCAAGAAGCTGAGACCAGTGAGGAAGCACAGGACACAGAGCGTGACCTAGGTTAATTCTCAGGAGAAACCACTTAATAAACAGAAAACACGTGGTAGAGAAGGAGGGGAATAGAAAGAGGAAAAACAAGGCCCATGGATTAGAAATGACCTACTGATTAAGTTCCAGTGCCTGGGAAAGACTCAATGAAATGAGTATGAAGGACTCACAGAGCAGAAATAGTTAGAGGGGAAGCAGAGGAGAGAGACGCAGGGAATCACAGTTTCCTGCCATTAAGAAGCCAAATTGCTCTGTAGTAAGAATCTAGAGTTTAGGGATATCACCTCGCCTCCTAATGCTGGAGGGGCTTGAAAAAAAAAAAAAAAGGCAGCACCAGAGGTTCAAAGCTACTTAAGTGGAACTCACATCTTTTTGCTCCTGGTCACTTGTTAAATATACTGGCACACAAAATAGAGTACTAACTCAGAAGGGGAAAATATCACATAAAATGGAAATAGGTAAGAGTTTAGAGCAGCACATAGGTGTTCTTGATATGTATTCCACTCTAAAGTTCTTCTTTGGGCCATACAGAGATGTCTACACAAGGAGTAGAGAACAGGAGGCCATTCTCCAGTAAATCTGGATGAAAACCAATTCCCATGCAAAATTAAACTTCTGGGAATAGTTCTCTTTGTAACCATGCCAGGAGTCAGGTCTGCAATTCCATGGTGGGATCACCAAGTACAAGCTGTTGGACTAACAGAGAACTTCATGTCCCAGTGAATATTTATCAGTGTGAGGTCCCCTGGAGAGCCTCATGTAGGCACCAAGGCCTGACTCCACCCACCTGCTTGCAAGTTCCAGTGCTGGACACTTCAGACAAAACAACCTGCAAGACAGAAGCACAGCCTCACCCATCAAGAAAAATGAGACAGCAAAAAACATGTCACAGAAAAAGGAGCAAGGTAAACACCTATAAAAACAAATAAGCTCAGAGAAGATAGGCAACCTATCTGAAAAAATATTCAGAATAATTATAGCATAGATGATCCAAAATATCAGAAATAGAATGGAGGCACAGATGCAGAAAATATAAGGAATTTTAACAAGGACCTAGAAAAACTAAAAAGCAAACAGTGATAAACAACACAATAAATAAAATGAAAAATACACAAAATTACCTTAAATGTAAATGGATTAAATGTCCCAACCAAAAGACACAGACTGGCTGAATGTATATAAAAACAAGGCCCATATATATGCTTTCTACAAGAAACTTACTTGAAACCCAGAGACACATACAAACTGAAAGTGAGGGGATAGAAAAAGATTCTATGGAAATAAAAAGAAAGCTGGAGTAGTAATACTCATATCAGATAAATGAGACTTTAAAATAAAGACCATTAAAAGAGAGTAATGATCAAGGGATCAATCCAAAAAGAAGATATAACAATTACAAATATTTATGCACCCAACATAAGAGTGCTTTAATACATAAGGCAAATGATAATAGCTATAAAAGGGTAAATTGACAGTAACATGGTAATAGTGAGGGACTGTAACACCCCATTTATACCAATGGATAGATCATCCAGACAGAAAATAAATAAGGAAATACAGGTTTAAATGACACACTAGACCAGATAAACCTAATTGATATTTATAGGATATTACATCAGAAAGCAGTAGAATACATTTTCTTCCCAAAAGCACATGGAACATTCTCCAGGATAGATCACAGTTTGAGCCACAAATCAAGCAATGGCAAATTTTAGAAAACTGAAATCATATCAAGCACCACCTTTTCCAACAACAATGCTATAAGATTAGAAATCAGCCACAGGAAAAACAAAAACTTAAAGAAAAAAAACCATAAACACATGGAAGCTAAACAACATGCTATTAAATAACCAAGAGATCACTGAAGAAATCAAAGAGGAAATTTTAAAAATCTATCAAAAAGTGACAGTGAAAACTTGATGGCCCCAAACCTATCAGTCCAATTCAGTTCAGTTCAATCACTCAGTCATGTCCAACTCTTTGCAACCTAATGAACTACAGCACACCAGGACTCCCTGTCCATCACCAACTCCTGGAGTTTACCCAAACCCGTTGAATTGGTGATGCCATCCAACAATCTCATCCTCTGTTGTCCCCTTCTCCTCTTGCCTTCAATCTTTCCCAGCATCAGGGTCTTTTCAAATGAGTCAGCTCTTTGCATCAGGTGGCCAGAGTATTGGAGTTTCAGCTTCAACATCAGTCCTTCCAATGAACACCCAGGACTGATCTTCTTTAGGACGGACGAGTTGGATCTTCTTGCAGTCCTAAGGACTCTCAAGAGTCTTCTCCAACACCACAGTTCAAAAGCATCAATTCTTCGACACTCAGCTTTCTTTATAGTCCAACTCTCACATCCATACATGACCACTGGAAAAACCATAGCATTGACTAGATGTACCTTTGTTGGCAAAGTAATGTCTCTGCTTTTTAATATGCTGTCTAGGTTGGTCATAACTTTCCTTCTGAGGAGTAAGTGTCTTTTAATTTCATGGCTGCAATAACCATCTGCAGTGATTTTGGAGCCCAGAAAAATAAAGTCAGCCACTGTTTCCCCATCTATTTGCCATGAAGTGATGGGACCAGATGCCATGATCTTAGTTTTCTGAATGTTGAGCTTTAAGCCAACTTTTTCACTCTCCTTTTTCACTTTCATCAAGAGGCTCTTTAGTTCTTCTTCACTTTCTGCCATAAAGGTGGTGTCATCTGCATATCTGAGGTTATTGATATGTCTCCTGGCAATCTTGATTCCAGCTTGGGCTTCCTCCAGCCCAGTGTTTGGGATGCAGCAAAAGCAGTCTTAAGAGAGAAGTTTGTAACAATGTAATCCTACCTCAAGAAACAAGGAAAATCTCAAATAAACAATTTAGCCTTATACATGAAGCAACTAGAGAAAGAAGAACAAGCAAAACCCAAAGTTTTGCTTTGGAAGGAAATATATCATAAAGATCAGAGAAAAATAAATGAAATACAAATGAAGAAAACAATAGCAAAAATCAATGAAACAAAATGCTGGTTCTGTGGGAATAAAAACAATATTGATAAACTTTTAGCCAGACTCATCAAGAAAAAAGGTGAATATTCAAATCAATAAAATTAGAAATGAAAAAGGAGAAATTACAACTGACACCACAGAAATACAAATTATCACTTAAGACTACTACAAGCAACTATATGCCAATAAGATGGATAACCTAAAAAAAATGGACAAGTACAACCTTCCAAGACTGAACCAAAGGAAATAGAAACTATGAACAGATTAACTACAAGTAATGAAATTAAAACTATGATGAAAAATCTTCCAAAAAATGAAAGTCCAGGACATGATGGCTTCACAGGCAAATTCTGTCAAACATTTAGAGAAGAGCTAACACTCATCCTTCTCTAACTCTTCAAAAAAATTGTAGAGGAAGGAATACTCTCAAGCTCATTTTACAAGGCCACCATCACCGTGTTAACAAAACTAGACAAAGATATCACAAAAAAAGAAAATTACAAGTCAATTTCACCGATGAACATAGATGCAGTAATTCTTAACAAAATACTAGCAAACAGAATCCAACAACACAGTGAAAGGATCATACACCATGGTAAAGTGGGATTTATTCCAGGGATACAAGCATTCTTCAATATATGTAAATCAATCAATGAGATACACCAGAGTAACAAATTGAAGAATAAAAACCATATGATAAAAAAAAACACCATATGATAATCTCAATAGATGCAGAAAAAGCTTTTGACAAAATTCAAGACTCATTTGTTTATATATATATAAAAAAAACTCCAGAAAGCAGGCATAGGAAAAATCTGCCTCCATATAATAAGGGTCATATATGACAAATCCACAGCAAACATCTTTCTCAGTGGTGAAAAACTGATAGCATTCCCAATAAGATGAGGGATAAAACAAGTATGACCAGTCTCACCACTACTATTCAACATAGTTTTAGAAGTCCTAGCCATGGCCATCAGAGGATAAAAAAGTAAAAAGGAATCCAAACTGGAAAAAAAGATGTAATCTGTCACTATTTACAGATTATATGATATTATACACAGAAAATCATAAAGAGGACACCAGATCTAATCAATGAATTTGATAAGGTTGCATGATATAAAACTAATGCACAGAATTCTCCTCCATTCCTATACAGTAAAAATGAAAGATCATAAAAAAAATTAAGGAAATGAGCCCATTTACCATCATATCAAAAGGAATAAAACATCTATAAATAAACCTATCTAAGGAGATAAAACACTTGTACTCAGAAAACTATAAGACACTGATGAAAGAAATCAAAGATGACAAAAAATGTTTTTGGATTGGAAGAATCAATATTGTGAAAATAGTAATACTACCCAAAGGAATCTACAAATATCAAGAGAGTATGGAACTGGCACAAAAGCAGAAATATAGATCAATGGGACAGCATAGGAAGCCCAAAGATAAATCCACACACTTATGGTCACCTAATCCATGACAAAAAAGCCAAGAATATATAATAGAAAAAACAGTCGCTTCAATAAATGGTGCTGAGAAAACTGACAGCTACATGTTAAAGAATGAAATTAGAACACTACACAACACCAGACACAAAAATAAATTCAAAGTGGAATGAAGACCTAAATGTAAGATCAGACACTAAAAACTCTTATAGGAAAACATAGGCAGAACATTCATTGGCATAAACCACAGAAAGATCATTTTTACCTAACTACTAGAGTAATACACCATCAGTATTCTGGCTCAGATGGTAAAGAATCTGCCTGCAATGCAGGAGACCTGGGTTCGATCCCTGGGTTGGGAAGATCCCCTGGAAAAGGAATGGAAAGTCATTCCAGTATTCTTGCCTGGAGAACTGCATGGACAGAGGATCTTGGTGGGCTACAGTTCATGGGGTCGCAAAAAGTCAGACATGACTGAGTGACTAACACTTTCACTTCACTTTCCT